TGAATTTTCGGTCAACACTTCAACAGCTTAGTAATGTCAAATCCTTATATTCTCCATTCCCATCATAGTCTAGCTGGATGCAAGTTGATTTTATATAGGTTTGAAATACAATTTTTAAAATTCTCCCTCATATATCTAACTGTCTATAATCATCCTATCCTAATTTAGTAAAACATATTCTACTCCAGTTTAATTCCTATGAAATTAGGGAAAAAAGGAAGTAAGAATAGAGCTTATTTAATTTAACTCACACAAACAGAAGGGTGGGTCACTAGGTAGCGTTTTAGGGATTTTTTTTTGTAGTTTAAGTTTTTGAGGTTTCAGCCAAACTTCTTGGACTAAARAAACAATATTTTTTTATCTGGCATGTCCCTCCCGTGTCCAAAACGTGTCCCCACGTGTCTGAAATTAAAATAAAAAATTTAATATTCGGACACTTTAAATTGCGTGTCGGACACGTGTCCGGAGCGTGTCAGGACGTATCCGTGTCCGACACAGACACTCCTCCTTTTTTGCCGTGTTCGTGTTTTATAGATTCTCATTCTTCTGTTTTTCAAACTCAAAGAAATTTTGAAATCCTTGGGAAGTGAGGTTGGTACAATCTAGGAAATTAAGATAAATCCTTAGGAACTGAGGGTGACTTCATGCTGATTTATAAATTGTTCCATTGAACAATTAATTGAGAAGATAAATCTAATTTTCTCCAGTCTTGCTCAACTCCTGGTGCATTTTATTTTTCCTATGGTTAGCACTGTGAGATCTCAAATTTTTGCTATCCTTGTTAGAGCAGTATATTGACTTCTTTAATAAATTATTGATGTCCCTAATCAAAGAAGGAAGATTGGACAAGAGAATATTTCCACCTGGGCAAGCGATGCAGCCAAGTGCCAAGGCTTAACAACATAAAGTAATAATTATAGATAGTTTATAAAAAAATAAAAAATAAAAAATTCCAGCATTTACCAGCGAATGGGCGTCCACAGAAGTATCAGCATGAAGAATGTCCATAACCTGCAGAGCAAAGTCCTGAAGTCCAGTATCCGGATGCAAATATCTGAGACAAATGGCCTACAAGACATTTCAAAATAGAAATAAATCAACTAAACATAAATTTATATATATCGGGCAAATTGCACAGACTACCTCTTAAGTAGGTAACCTATGGAAATGGTGGAGTTTAAATCAGAGTAGTGCAATGGAAGTGTGGTGGTTTTCTTAATTAGTCTTGGTGGTTGAAGTTAATTATCTTATTTAAGTAAGATTTTTAGGTAGTTTTAGTAACGGTCCTCGTTTGGGAAGTTGAAAATCCTGGAGCGTTACAGTTGGTATCAGAGCCTAGTAGCACGTTAGGACCTTGATAATCCATGCTCAAAATAACCATGGTTTCAAGAAAACGTTATTTTGAGGAAAAAAAAATAAAAGAGGAAAATTTATATAAAAAATTAAACTAACATACTTTAGTTTGCTTAATTCCCTTGGCTCATGATATCTTAATAATCATATAATCAAAATTAGAATCACAGGATCAACGATTGAACAAGAATATATCAACCTAAGCATAGCTAACCAAGTTAAGGCATATATTTCAAACAAAAAATTGTGGGTTTGAATCCCCACCCTACATGTTGTTAATACTCAAAAAAAGGAGGTTTGAACGAGGATAAAAACAACCCTGAGACATAATACGACATGACATTTATCACCATCTTCTCTTCACGTCCCATGAGATTATATCAAATGAATTAATATATTTTCTCCATCTTGTTTAGTTCCTATGAGTTTTTGGGTTTTCATTCATTTGTTTTTAGTTTTCGATATAAGTATAATTTTTTTTTTTTGAATAAGATACGAACTTTTCATTGATAAATGAAAAGGACCAAAATTGTTCAAAGGTACAAACTCCCTAAGGAGTATAGCATAGCACCAAAAACCCAACACCATTTTGGTTTGGACGTCCAACAGTACAATAAATAGTACGTTCGGAATCATAAATGAAGGCACCATAATTTGCACGGAACTAGCAATGGGTCTAGTCATGCTAATAAGACACCGGGGAACATTTGGTAGTAACATCTGCCTTCTACACCTACTACTCCTTCTCACAAGATCTGACGCTCTGGACCTATCGTTTCCCTCGAGTCCCCCTTATTCAGTTTACCAAACCCTAACAGACACGCTTTTTACTCTCTACCTGGCCCACTATCATGATCATCGCCCCCTTTCTTTTCAAAATTCACCCATAACCTTCCTTAGCAATGAATAAATACGAAGGAAGAAAAAAATCCTTCGTAGCATGTGGACGTGGTGAGTGTATTTCAAACTGATATGGCTAGTCAAACCATGCATGAATAAAAAATGTCCCAGTGGCATGTGGAGTTATTCCTAATTTTTCAAATTCAAAATCTATGGTAGTAACTTTTTGAATTGATAACGTGAGATTTATATTAATTCAGCATAAAGCTACATCATAAACTTTTAAATATTATCCTAAAATCAAGTATAAGTCAAGAAAATAATAATAATTGAGTGCTTTTCAAAAAAGATAGGCGAATGCTACTGGTGCTTAAAATAGTTAAGGGAAGTTCAGGCTTACTCTCTTGGGCGTCCATGTCAAGGCTGACCGCTGGGTCCCTTGAGCAGCAAGCCAGTCTTCTCCGCATTGACATCATCTTGTTATCTTCTCTGGAAACTTGGGCTATGCTATGGAAATACAATTCATCCAAATCAATTGAGGCTTGCAGCAGACAATGTGACAAACAGGTCGATCAGAATGAGCCCACTGCATAATTATCAATAAAGAATTAGTCCTTACAGGTAGTGTTAGGGAAAAAAAATCATGAAACGAGGTCACCGATTTGAAGTGAAAAACATGTCTATGCTTAGGATAGGTGGAAATTTTAATTACTCAAACTTGTTTTGAAATCCTGTATATTGTTTCAGCTATATATGTATGATTAGTATTTGATTTGCGTTTATGTATGATTAGTATTTGATTTGCGTTTAAAATAAGATCAGGGAAACGAAAAGGTCAACAGGACCAAAAAAGTAAAAGAAAGATAAAGGAAAAGGGGGACGGATTATATGAATTTTTTGGGTCCAGAGAAACTGGTGGAATAGGATAGGGTGATTCTTTCTTTTCTTTTTTTTAGAGAATAGGATAGGGTGATTCATAGTATGTAAATTAATAGGGTGATTCCATTAATTATAGAATGGGGTGATTCATGGTATGTACATAGGGTGATTCTTTCTTCTAAAAACAGGGTGATTCATGGTATGTATATAGTCCGTGACGAGCAAGCTGCATGTATGCGCTGCAGGTAGACCGGTAAAGAAGGATGGTGTAGACAAATTCGCTCTTCATATTCTAACTCACCTACACGGGCACCTTCCTGGTCTGATCCTCTCCTTACTTCAATTTTACTTACTAAACTCACCTACACGGACACCTTCCTGATCTGATCCTCTCCTTACTCCAATTTTACTTACTACTGGACCAGCATGCGCTAACATCTCCATATTCATTGCCAATTTCCGGATAACGTTTCCTTTTGGCTTTCGGGGATAAATATCACTTTTTATTACATTAATTTGTATGGTAAACAGTAATGACAGTTGACAAGTGGCCGCCAGCGCATACCACCTAATTTTCGAGTACACAGATTGATATTCAACAAAAATAAAAGTTATATCCATAAACTGAGTACTAAAACAACTATAGAGGAGTTTATTAAATATTAACAACGAAGACCAGCCCAACTAAATATCTACTTTGCAAGCAGGAGATCCAAGCAATGGAACTTGACCCACCAGGCCTCTTTTCACACCTACCAACACGTCACATCTCACATATACAGAATAATGTCCGGTCTTTACAAGCCCAGCTTTCCATCTTATTCTTCCCAACAAGGCTACTCTCAGCCCTATAACCCCAATTGTCTGATCCGTTACTAACCCATTTACCACCTCCAACGACGTTGGCACCGCCCCACCACCTAGCACAGGCGACATCGCCAGTGTGCTCCGCTTTTCGTGAAACAGCGGAGGTAGCATCACCTGCGACGTTATCTGTTGGTTCCTATACGATACGAAGGCAGTCAGTCTATCATAATAAATTGAAACTCGCCTGTTCGGGTTCCTTGTAATGATGGTGAACTGCATAGTTGTGGACAGCAACGGCGGAGATGACATGTTGAGGTCGTATATGGCGGCACTGACCACCGTAAATTGGGGGTCAGTGGGGCGGTAGACAAGCCAGAGGATGAGAGCCACGACACCGATCATGAGAAGGAAGATGGAGATGCATGCGCAAACGGATCGGTGAGTGCTTTTTGAGTAGTATTGGGAAGGATAGATTCTTTTTCTGTGCTTTGCTTCTTTCAACTCTTCCTGATGCTGATGCTGATCTTGCCCTTGCCCTTGAACTTCTTCTGCCATATTTGGACTGATCTGGCTGCCACAAAGAGCTAGGGAGTGAGAGGAGGGGCTATAAAGGAAAAGTGGGGTTTGGTTGTGTCGACCAGAAGGAGTATAAATATAAGGATCAGAAAACTTATATTAGGAATAAGGATCCATTCTTTTGTGGGTAAATGGAATATAAAGTAGAAAGGGCGAAAATGGAAAATTTTCAATTTTAATTGAGTTGAGATGTTAACCTACTTCCTAATAACTGTTAAATAATAATTATGGAAAAATGCTCAAAGGGAAAACTTTTGTTGCGGAGGAATAAATTAATTCTCAAATATTTTTGCATGAAAAATTGTAAGGTGGCTATGTTGTGTTGTTTACAGATGTTCTAAGTTTTGGAGCCTCTGAGTTGGGTTAGGTTGTTGCATTACACATTTACATTGGGAGGCTAGCTAGTGAGGCCCCACGTCTCCCCCAGCTGATGCTATGCACAACACACGTTTCCATCCTCGCTACATAACATACGTCATAAGTTGGAGATAATTCAAATTCCTGGTAAATGCTTTAATTATATTATCATTTTAAAACTTAGCTGGCTAGGCATGCATGCATCCATTTGATTTTCAACAAACAGCCACATATTTTGTGTCATATCCTGGGTTTTTAGAGAGAGATCAGAGGGAGAGAGTTGTATATAGTGGACATATTGAAAAAGAAGGAATGCAATTAGGCATCGTCATTATTCATCGTGCTCGAGGGGGTGGACTCTACCAGGGACTTCAATTTGTTCAGCGGTATGATCATTATGATTTATCTGAGTTATTGGTCCATTTTATCCCAGGTACAAAATCAGAATCCCTCTCACCTGGCAACGTCATGCGGAATCACTAGGAGCAATCGAGCTACCAACGTACGCTCTCTCGCCAAGCTAGCCTTGGAATCAAGTTATTAATTTTTTTTTTTTGACAGGTAGATATTATTTTCACATAGTGTATACAAAATATTATTTCATTGCAACTAGTATTATGATCAATATAATAAATGTTGAGTTTGCGAATGCGACAAAGTCTGGTATTAGTTGAGGAGGAGAGGAGAAGGGAGAAGAGTGTGAGAGAGAGGCGGCCAGTGGCCAGAAGAGGTGGAAGGGTGGCCGATAGTCGGAAGATGGAGCTAGGGTCGAGTAGCTTAGAGAAAAAAGAATGTGGGGAGAGATGTTTTATTGTTTTTTTTTTTTGGTACATGTTGAAATATTATAAAAAAAATAAATGTTAAACATATAAATTAAAATTAAATGCAACATTATTTGACTAATATAAATGGTCTGCCTCATACTAGCTTCCACGTCATGAGAGAGATGTGTGAATCAAGGGAGAGAGGAGAAAACATGTGAGAATTAAGGAGGGAGTTACATTTGAAGTCTGTAGTTCAAAAATATTTGGGTCAAACGAAGAGTTTATTGGACTTTGTAAATACGCCAAGTTCGTGTTTATTAACTGTTCCGCCCAAACACCCACTAATACTTCCATGACTATTAAAATTTTCAATATTGCGTACCTCAAATAAGTGACAAAATATGTCAACCTGGTACCAGGGCTTGAAGCTGCTTGATGGAAAGAAACAAAACTAGTGTATGTATTTGACTATATGTGTTAAAGTTGGAGGGTGTGGAATGGAAGTTGGGCATATGGGAATCGAATTGATTAGTTGGGGTGAGCCTAACTTAACACATATACTCCCTTGTGTATTAAAGGCCTCAAATTTTGATCTCCACATATATACAATAATTACGTGTTTGATATATTGATATGATCTATCAAGTCGTTGAAAAATAAAATGATGAAGAGGGTTAGGATATGAGAAAGGTGGAGGGGATGCATGTGGCAGGGAGAGGAGAGGAAGAATACAATGAAGAGAGGGGCCCTTGAAAAGATCCTCCTTTTTAGAATTCTCACAGACAACCCAACCCACTGCACTGCCTTGTTAACCAGGAAACTATACAGCAATCCCGGGCATGTGAATGTGACGAATGTGAATGTGAGTGTGATCCCCTTTTAAATTTCGTCATCATTAATTTAATTAATTACCTATCCTGATCATTCCTCCCTTAACGATCCTTCCCATTTTATAAACATTTTTAAAATATTTTTTGAGTAAACATTTGTTGTATTTTGAAAATCTAGAACCAAGACTACCATTAACATCTCAATTTTGCCCTAAAGGTCTTTTTCTTCCATTATCCAAACTCCCTTTCTCTGTTGTCTACCAATTTTTGTACGGATCCTCTTTTAAAAATGGTTAGTTCTTCCACATTCTTTATCTTTTTATACTTAATATAAGCAAGTATTCACGTTAAATGTCACGTCGTTCCAAATTCTACCACGTCAATTTTTTTTCAAAATATTAACATATATTTTTGCTTAAATAGTAATATTTAAACTTTGAAAGAAAATGAGTATTTTTAAAATATTAACATATATTTTTGCTTAAATAGTAATATTTAAACTTTGAAAGAACATGAGTATTTTTAAAATAAATTCCATAATTTCACGAGGTTTTTTTTTTTTTGTAATTTAGCCTAAGATTTTACCTTTTTAACTTTGTTATATAAATTTTTAACTTTAAAACTTTAAAAGAGTGAAATTAAAAAGAAAACTTCAAAAATCTTTATTTTTATTTTATTTTATTTTATCTTTTTCAGTTTTCTAAACAACTAAGAGGTTGGACACCTCCTTTTGATTAAAATGCCCGGGCTCTTAGATAATACTTTCACGAGGGATATGGACTAATTATCTTCCTCCTTTTTATAACTGAACATGAAAATTATACATCCATCCAGGATTATGTACGTTAAAAAGACAATCTTTTTTTTTCCTTAAAAAAAAAAACCTTTTTTTTTGTGCAAAGAAAAAGAAAGACAAAAATTGTGTCCCGACACATTTAATGCTAAATCGAGACCGTTGCCAGTGGGTATAGCCTCCTTCCAAATACTCATTTCAATTATTATTCAATGCCATTTCTCACCTTTGTACTACCAATCCAATATAATGCTTGTCGATGTTTTTTTTTTTTTTTAAACAATGCTTGTCGATGTTATGGATAAAAGAAATATGAATTTGTGAACTCTATTTTACGCAACTCTATCGTCTTCCCTTCATTCTCTTACATGTGTACAAAATTTCTCACCATCCTCTCCCCCATCTTTCCTTCGGTCTTTTTTCTTATACGGCTTTCAATTTCCCTTTTTTTACCTGCTTTCTACGAACTTCACTACATGCATATAGTATATCCTAATTTGTTAGGGACAACCAACTCTCCTTATCTTCCACAATGGTATAATATTGTTCATGCTTTGTTTATTTGGTTTTATTCAAAATATTTTATACTAACGAAATGGTGTCTCTTTCATACTAACCGACTCTCCTTATCATGATATTCCCTTTATCTAGATAATATAAGACTTTTGTTGCATTCTCAAAGTAAACCTCTTGTTTACACTATATATCCTTTCACTATTTCTCTTTAATTAACCCCACTTTTTTTCTCTCACCTACCTCGCTCTCTTTGCAACCACAGAATAATATAAATTGAAAAGGGCAATACAGAGGTTCGAACACAAGACCTCTTACTCTAATACCATATTAAAGATAAATAAACTATCAATAAATCTAAAAGTTTAAGTTGATGAGTTGGTAAATTTAATTTATATATGAGATATCTGAACAATGAAGTCTGATACTTGGTATCTTGACCTATAACTTATGTTAAATAATGTTTTGTCAAACTTGCTCAATAAATTTCTAGAAACCACTGGATTAAGTATTTTGTCAAACTTGTTCAATAAGTCTCCTCAGAGAATTGAAGTCACGCTAAAGTTAAGTTATATATTAGAGTGCAAGATGCAGCCACAAATCATCATCTTATGATCAAGGTCAAGATGTGGCAAATCTATGGCCACTAAATCATCACCTTATTGAGGCTAACATGTGAAATATTTATAGACATATAATTTTACTTGATGAGCAAGTATGTTAAGGCTATAAATAGGTGAGTATCCATGATTGGCAATCGACCCCAAAATCCAAAATTTTAAATGAGCTAATAGTGTGAGACTCGTGAGATAAAATGGAGAGTTTTTTCTTATGAGAGATTTTGTTCTCTATAAGAGAGAAAGCTTTTCATACTCGTATTTTAGTTGAGTGAAATTCCTATATCATTGTCTGTGGTTTTTACCATAATTCGTTTAGGAGTTTTCCACGTAAAATCATCGTGTCTTATTCTTCCCCTTCTTCTTTTCATTATTACTCCTAAATTTATTTTAGTTACGATTCTACTCTATTCAGTCCAATCCTTTCCAAAAACATACATGAGGTCTTAGGTTTCGGCGACGAAACTTACCCTTCGTCGCCAAAAACTTGACTTTTGGCGACGAAACATGTAATTGGTCGTCGAAGGTCAATCCAGAACCTTCGTCCGGGTTCTGGAACGTACACCTTCGACGACGATTTTCTAAAATCGTCGTTGAAGGTCTAGCTTTCGGCGACCACATCTAATGTCGTCGCCAAAAGCTGGAACTTGCGGCGACAACATGTCTTTTGAGCTAAGACCTCACATATGACGCCTTATTCTAGCCTAGATCACCAAGCTAAGAGATAACACAACTTAACTCAAGCAAGAGCCAAAACTACGTAACTCAATTACACGAGACCAAAAGTCCTCCGTCCAAGAGACTATGATAGTAAGTGAGATCAGAAACTGCTTGACCCAAAGTGAATCTAATTACTCGAGCAAGTGAGACAACAAATCACCTAGCTTAAAAGAGTAAGGGTGTATTTGGGAATGATTTAGCATGGCCAAAATCACTTCCCTTTCCATTTACCATGTTTGGCAAATTAGAAAATTGATTTTAGAAAAGCTTATTAAAATCACTTTTAATTGATTTTTAAGATATCATTTAGATGGTGATTTTGAAAATTCAATTATACATTAATCTCTTTTTTCAAAATCACTAATTCTACCATCACTCCCAAGCACCATGACTATTCAACCAAGGTGAGATTAAAAGCAAGCTATCTAACTCAAGTGGCGAAACCTTCACCTAACTCTCGGGTGAGTCTTGGATGGTAGCCCAGCCCCAAGTGGAGATAAAGTGTTTTTGCTAAGTCTATCTGAGATTTAGGTATTTGTTTAGCCCGATCCAAATTATCTATCCTAAACGAAGGCTCGAAAAGATCAATTGATAATGGGTTTGAGATGCTTTTGGTAAACGCAAAGGATGTGGGATAGATTACATCAGATATTTATTCAACCATATCAGACGTAGAGTTTAAGGTTCATGATTTAGGCCTAAATCACACAACAACAAAGTTGATAGTCTAACATTTACATATGTACCTTTAAAAGGAACACATTAAAACTCAAAATAATAATAATAAAAATACTAAGGAACCTAAGATGCGAGGCATATAATTAAGGTGTGTTTTTTATGCCGAAACATGGGTTTCTTAGGGCTCATTTGGTAATGTTCTCATTTCTTGTTTCTTGTTTCCAATTTTCTTAAGAAATCTAAGCATTTTAGCAATTAACTATATTTCTTGTTTCTTCTTTTTTGGAACATTTTCAAAATTGTATACAATTTTTGGAAACAACTAACAAATTTCTTCTTTCTTGTCTCCATTTCCAATTTTTTCCAAAACATAGATAAAAAAAATTTATTTTTATCATACTTGAATTCATGGATATTGTTGGAGTCATGCAATTAATTTTTCTTTACTAAAAATGAAGAAACATAAACAAGAAATAAGAACGTTATCAAACGAAATAAATAACTAATAAAATAAAGTAACATATACTCCTTTACTAATAAATAACTTGATGCAGGAAGGTATATTTATACATGACATTTAAATATGAAATAAATTTTAATTAAATTATATAATATCTCTATTTATTTAGTTGATAGATTCTTATTAATTATACTTGAAAAAAATTATATGAAACCAATATTATTTCTCCCAATTTTTTTAAGATAAAAGTTCAGGTTAAAATTGGAATTAAAGTTAATATTCAATATTTTTATAAAAAAAATATCAAATTAATATAAATTAATGTCTTCTAAAAATAAAAGTCAATGTATAAATTATGGTTTTTTTAAAACAAATATACAATTTTTAAATGCTAATTAGAATATAGTTCATCGAGTTAAGGCACATGTATCCAATCATGAGGTTGAGAGTTTGAATCTATACCATATATATATATATAATTTTTAAACATTTCAAATATAAATTCTAAAAAACAAACCTAGCTATTCAAAACAAACATCATTTGTCTAAGATGTTAGACATCTAAAATTGGAGAGATTCAAGATTCTTCAAATCTTAAAAAATAAACCGCCCTTGTTTTAATTTTTTTCTTTTGAAATCTGAAAATATTCAAACAAGAGAACGAATTTCTTCGAGACCGCATTATGCACTCATAAGCAAAGCACTAATCGATTTTATCATGTTCTAAATTATAAAAAGAAGATAACTTTAATTGTAGTGGGTAGTAAAAGTAATTCATAAAAATTTCAAAAAATGTCACCCTCTTTTCAAAATTTCAAATATAATAAAATTTTTAAATTTTTATTTTTAGAATTTTTATTATTCCAATTTTACTCTTATGATATCTGATATACAATCAATGTATATCTATATTTGATATAAATCTCATATGTATTTGTATTTGATATACATTCAATCTATATATGATATATATCTGATGTACCTTTCATATACTTTCGATATATATCTGATTTACCTCTGATATACATTATCATATGTATGTATTATACCTATAATATATATCTCATGTACCTCTAATTTAAATATATACTAAATATATCTGCGACTGATATACTAAAGATAAGGTATATCAAATGTTTAATTCTTAATAGTATATCAGTTGTTTATGTTCTAGTTTACCATTGCAATTTGTTGATTGATATACTAATATCATTAATAATGTTGATTACTATATCACTACTATTTATTCTATATTAATATTAATTAGATACTAAATATAAGGGATATCAACTATTTAAATTTATATTTATAAAGTATATCAGACTTCTATTTTTTTTTTTACGTGCATGATCCACATAAACCTTTTATACAATAACTTTATATTTAAATTTTTTTTTGGCACCATTGTTTTCATATGAAAAAAGTATTGGATATAATAGTATTATATCAACGTACATGTATCATAATTATATTAGTAGATATCATGGTTATATCAGAGGTATATAGTGGTAAATTAGAAGCCTATTAAATATCAAATATATATCAGTGTATATTAGTGATAAATCATATAATCATATATTAGAAGTTATATTAGTGGTATATTATTTGTATATCAATGGTAAGTTAGAGACATATCAAGTATATATCACAACTATCTAAATATTGTATCGACATAGTAAATCAATGGTTATCATACGTATATCAGCGGTAAGTCATATTAGAAGTTAAATAGATATCATAGTTATATCAGAAGTAAATCAATTGTATATTATTATTATATCAGTGGTATATCATAAACATATATCAGTAATCAGATATATTGTAGATATATTACAGATAAATTTTAAAATTGGACCTCCGTTTTTATTTAAAAAAATACTATATTTGGAAAAACTAAATGTGGTTGCTATTTTGCTTATTTTACTAGATATTTTTGTCATATTTGCAACTACCCCTTTCTTTAAGTTGTTTTCTCACTTTTTATTTCTATGTGTAACTTCTTTTTAAAGTTCTATCCAAACAATGAAAAATCTGTCAAAGCAGACATAGTTCAACGATAATTGGTGCATATACCTCCAATAATGAGGTTAAGAGTTCGATCCCAACCTCCATGCTATACTTAAAAAAAAAAAAAAACAATTATCGGATTATGAAGAGAATGTAGAATGATTTTTACTTCAACAAATTACTATTTTTTTTTTTTTTTAAGTTGAGGTTTGAACTAAAGTGTAGTGTAACCCAAACAAATATAAGCAAACCTAAAGTTGAGGGAAGTTGGAAGAGGGGAGAGGGATGTGAAATGTGAATTGACGCATCATCAGACGAGCGGCACACTCCATATACACATAGGAGGAGGGGGAGTGAGGGAGAGTCCCCACAACTGTCTGTCTCCGCTGCCGGACAAAACTGTCACCGCCAATAATGCTTTTGCTTTGCTCGGGGCTTTGTAATTCTAAATGTAAACTAACACCACCTCTCTTCTTCCCTTCCCAACCAATCAACTTGGTCAAGTTGTATATCTTCTTCAACACTTGTGTGTATTTACCGCCTTTCGTTTCTCTTCATAACCCTTTCTTTTCTACCTCTTCTTCATCACTGTTTTCCTCTTCTACGCTCTCTCTCTCTGTTCTCTGGCCGTAGCATTTAATATTATTCTATAAAGAGTATCAACTCCACCAGAAGGCGAAGGAATATGTTTTGGGCTGATATGGGGTCTCCTTCTGCTACTTGGGTTTTACATTTAATGCTATTGTTTTGTTAGTATCTCTGTGGAATTGAAATGTATATTGGTTACCTACTCACAGAAATAGAGTGATAGAGAGAGAGGGAGATTAATTTAGCACACACTTCAACAACTGCTCTGCTCTGCTCTTCAAATGGAGAGGCTCCAAGGACACATTCATCCTTGTGTATGATAAATGCTATATATCCCTTTTTCCACTTAATTATTTCCGCTTTCCTTTTCCCATGGAGACCCATTTTTAGCATTTTCATAATGCACCTCATTTAATTCTTCAAATGGTACATTCAGTGCTTGAAGGTATGTATAAAATCTCTTCTTAGCACTCACAACTTCTTTTTCTCATGTTTCTTTTCTCGCTCTGGACTCTGTTCTTTTCAGTTTTATGGTGAATACTCAGAGAGAGGTTGCTCCGAACAAGGATTCACAAGCTTGAGATTTGAGGAATCAGAAGAAGCTTATTTCTTAACATCAACTTTGGAAGACAAAATGCCATTTCTTCAGATGCTGCAGAGTGTGGAATCTCAACCATTCAAGGAACCTAACTTCCAAAATTTGCTGAAGCTGCAGCACCTGAACAAACCATGGGAATTAGAAGAAGTTAGTCAAATTCAGGAGCTTGTAGAGTTGTATTCTTCACCAATTAACTCAGAAACAAAGGACCAAAATCAACACCCAAATTCGGCTTCATATACCGACGGTGTGAGTTCAGAGTGCAACCAAAATCAACGGACCCAGATGGCAAAAGCTCCTCCGGTAACCAAGGAGAGAAGAAAACGGAAGAGAACGAGGCCAGCTAAGAACAAGGAAGAAGTGGAGAGCCAAAGAATGACCCATATTGCCGTCGAGCGCAACCGGAGACGCCAGATGAACGACCATCTCAACGTTATCAAGTCTCTCATACCTACCTCCTATATTCATAGGGTACATTGTCTGTTCTATGAGAACAATATCAAACTTCCTTTTTTTTTTCTTTTGACATTTTCTTTTGACTAATTAAAAATGTCAACTTTGTGTTGCATTGGACGGGTGTTTGTACACAAAAAGGGTGATCAGGCATCCATAATCGGGGGAGCAATACACTTCGTGAAGGAATTGGAGCAGCTACTTGAATCTTTGGAAGCACAGAGAAAAGGAGAGGAAGGTGGGTGTAAGGCCAAGGGTGAGCTATCCTCAGTAGGCTCACGCTCACCCACATCCTCTGCAATGGGAATGGCCTCAAATGGGAGAATAGGAGAAGGGGTTTGTGCAGAACACAAGTCAGAAGTGGCTGAGATAGAGGTGACTATGATTCAAACCCATGTGAACTTGAAGATAAAATGCCCCAAAAGGCAAGGCCAATTGTTGAAAGCCATTGTTGCTTTGGAAGATCTTAGGCTCACGGTTTTGCATCTCAACATTTCTACCTCACAGGCCACTGCCACCATGCATTACTCCTTCAATCTCAAGGTATTGCTCTGTCCACGTTTTCCTTCTTTTTTTATTTTTTTAGAGATAGAGATTGAAGAAAAAAAAATTATTGCTGTGCCCCCTTTTTTAGTCAACCTCAACCAGTTCTGACTTTGGAACTCAAGCACAGCGCCTCTAGTTCCAAGAGCCTGGCTCTTTTCCCACATCTACTATTTGTTTTATTGATTATTGATTTGGTTGGGATGAGAGTTGGGAGTAAAATAGTTTTAAGTTTTAACAAAGGGTTTCTATGTTGAGTGCGGATGAATTCAGATAGAAGATGAATGTAAGATAGGATCAGCGGAGCAGATTGCAGCAACAGTTCATCAAATATTCAGTTTTATGAATGATGGCAGGCTGGTCAAAGAGGGAAAGGGAAAGGCAAATTTCAGGCAGTACAGTGGCAGTCGCTGACTATGGAAAATGGAAGGACCCCCCCACTTCCCTTCCCAAAAATCAAAGTAAGAAAGCTAAGCAAATACGGGTCGGGGTGTGGGCACCTCGAGTAGTGTTGTTTAGTGTACCGCAGATGGGTTGGTCAGAGTGGCAGGGATTGGGAAGATGATGTTTACTGCTTAAAAAAAGTGTCTGTCATCTCCTTCCTAATTTACGCAAATTCAGAAATGTTTAACAAAATAATTATATTAATACAACTTTTTTGGTTCTTTTTCTTATTTGGATTTGACCCACTTTCATTGGTCTCCCATTGTGGTTTGGTTAGTTAGCATAGCAGCTCATCTTCTCACCATGCAATGCAGTGCAGGACGTAGATTGTAGATTGTAGATTGTAGAGAGAGGCCCAAGGGCTACGCTCATGCACACATTCTCAAGTCAATCTTTGGTTGAAATTGAAATTATATCGAAAAATAACGGCAGAGCAGAGCTATTTGGAGCGTTGAAAAGTGTAGTGTAGAAATCGAAGTCTGTCCCTAAAAAACATTACGCATTTGTCTTGGCAGCTGGCTTGTCTATTTGACTACGTACCTCGTTGTGACGGGAGGGACAATCTCTGCACTGCACTGCAACCTTTCTTTATTACAAATTCCACGGAACTTTAAATCCATTGCCCTTTTAGTCTCCTCTTTACAATCAGTCAATGGCCCGGCCTATTTGAAATAAACCTTTGACCTTTCATGTAAGCATATAAGAATAATACATTAACATTAAAAATCACACCGAAAATGTAAAATCTTGAAATGTGATGCACTACCATAGGTGGAATTATACTGCATTGACGGTCGTACATCCTTTTTTTCGCTCCAAAAGGTAGAAATTATTTAACCTCTTCAGATTAATCACCAACACACCGCTTTATATTGTTAAAATTATTAACGGTTCGTTATACAATGAAAGTATAATTTCTCATAGGTGTATTTCATAGGTGTATTTTAATTTCTAAAAGAATAAATATAAAAGATCGACTTAGTTAATAGTTAGTAAGACACAATAGTCAATAAGGAGACAATTCGCAACTGCCCCTCATTTTGCTCTTGTCTTCGTCCTTAAGAAGGACAATCAATGAGGGGACACGTTTTTTTTTTTTTTTTTGGTCTCAGACGATTTCATTTAACCAAATTGCTTATCAGCTGGTAGTTCCATTACATCGTCATCGCATGTAATGGTGTTTTTTTTTTTTACAATTCCTCTCTTAATCAAGTATCTTATCTGTTAAAATATTATGAAAATATATACCATTTTGAGAAAAATCCGAGTATGAGATGCTAGCCATCAAAGTCCCAATTAAATCATGATAGCTCTGAAGGCTGTAGCTTCCCCTCCCTTTTTGAGTGTTAGAGGATACAAACACAAAATACAAGTCAAATTACAAAAAGGGTAAAAAGAACATCATAGGTCTGGTGATTGTGGCAATTGCCAACTGGCATGGTGGGAATTTGCCAGTCCATCACTTTTCCATGCCCCTACGCCTGATTTCACAATCTTCATTCTTCATTGTGACTGAAGTTGTGAACGTACAAAGTAGAAAAAGAATACATGGTTTATTTCAGTACTCCCATTATTACATTAAATTATTTACATAATTCAATATATTTAAAGATATCTCGGAGTGATTTGACATGGTCAAAATTACTTTTGCTCTTTTCCATTAATTATGTTTAATAAATTAGAAAATTGATTTTAAGAAAACTTAAAATCACCTGTCGGATGATAATTTTAAAAAAACAATTCTACTTAAATCTCTTTTTTCATAATAATAATTCTAATTGAGGTTATTTCTCCCTCTCACTCGCATTGAAGGAAAAGGAGAGCGGACGTGATCCCACCGTTTTTCTGCATTAGAGCTACTTTTGAGAAATTCAATGAACGTAGAAGAAAAATAGAATGGGTCAATTTGGCCTCCCTGTGGTTGACCAGTAAACACTGCAAGCTTCTTCTGAACAAATCTCTACTTTTTAAGTTTTTCTTTTATTATCCACCACTTCTGGGCCTGTACAATTAATGCAAATGGAAAATACTTCATTCAATTGATCACCTCCACCATAACAAATAGACGGAAGATCCTTTGATATACTAGTAAAGGGTCCCCTTTGTCTACTCTCCGAGTGGACTGTGTTTCCTAGTGTTTGTTTGTACCTAGTGGCAATCAGTTTTCAAAATGTCGATGTTGATGAAAATGTTGAGGTCCCGATTTTACGGACATGTCGATGTCGATGGATATTTCGGAAAAAATAATGGAAATTGTGGAAATTGATGGAAATTTTTTGAATTAGCAAATAAAACTTGAATGGTAATTTAATTAACCTATAATTGATCAAATTTAACCATTAAAGGTAAGAATATGACTATTTTACTTATGAAAATGTCGATGTCGATAGAAATATCGAAAAAAGATTTTTCCTTTAATAAAGATCCATGAAAATTATTTGAATATGTAAAGTAAACTTTAATTGTAAACTTTTGACTTGTTTTTCATAATAGGATTCATTTGGAAATGAGATAATTACCGACTTGATTTCCAAACACATTTCTAAATTCTAATTAACTCGTATATGTTTACTTTTTACCTACTTCTCTTTTCAAATTTGAATTTACACATTTTTCCAACACATTTTTAAATCAATCATCAATCCAACTTTCCAATCCAACTTTCCAATCAAATTTACACAATTTTCAAACACCTCAACCTCGTAATTGTATCATTCATCCAAATTATCTACCAATGGATCCATATGTGCTTCATATTAATTTATATTAAAGCTATCAAGATAATGAACTAGATCCTCTGAGATCATCTTTTTTATATTAATTAAGTTACCTATTTTACTTCATGTTTCATCATTATTTGTATATAATAATATTTTATTTTTTAAAAATTCTAAAATTATTTCAATCTTTATATATGTCAATATTTCACATATATTGTTCAATTGTGTAAATAAGAACTAGATTGGATTAGAAATTATCATTTAAGCAAATTATAAATCTTATTAGTTATACTTTATACACTATTAAAATTCGAATGTTTCATTGAACAGACTAAGATTACAATCATCTAGATTGTGAGAAATTATAGACTACAATGGCATAGCAAGTAGAGGATGAAAATAAAATAACCTTCGAGAAGAAGAAAAAAAAAACATGTCGACATTTGAGTCGACATTTCAACATTTTGTCGATATTTCGACGACATGGGGGAAAAATAGACTTTTCCCCTCCTATACTCAACGTCGACATTTCGACATATCTCTCGACATTTTGAACCCTGGTGGCAATAACCATAGTCCACGCCAAAAGGCATGAACGAATGTAATTTACTTTCCAGGTGGTTCGGTTGTACAAGTCAGGAAATAGATAGAGTTTAGCGCCGCAAATAGAAAATATTACCATAAAATTTTACACAACCACAAATAGAACGAGATGGTTTTGCCTTTCAATTGGCCCTTCATAATTAATTGTCAATTATCCAAGAATTCAAATTATATTCATGAACATTTTAACACAAATTCACGTATGTCCAGTCCACGCTGCATCACGAGTATAATTTATTCAATAGCTCCAGCAACAGAACTGCGGCAGAGTCCTTGGCCTTTTTGACACTAGGCATAGGCTCTCCCACGCATTCATCCGTCCATCCCCTGTCTGTAGTATTCACCCGCACGGCAAAGGTAAACCTCTTTGCATGTGCAGGGCCACCCTCATTCACACACCTAAAAAAACACGTGCAAAGCTGATCATTGTTACAAATATTTTACTTATTGACTAGAATACATTGTAGAGATATCCGAAATTTCCTCACCTATAAAATGGCATGGGCCAATTTCTACGCAGACAAATATCATTCAACGTCTGCCTGGTAAATGTTTGATTTCCATTCTTCTTCTTCTTCCCACTATCTTCATTTTTTTCCTTGGCTTCATCCATTTCCTTCTCCTTCAAAACAGCAAGCGCATTCCTCGCAGCTAGTTTCTGTGCCATCTTCTTCTGCGGATTCTGAGCAACTCCAATTTGGACACCATCAATGAAAACTTCAACCGTAGCCAAATTGCCACTGCGAGTTGCCTTGTACTCCAGACCTTCAGCCTGTTGTTGGCATCGCTCTTGCAGCTCACGAACGGGATGCATTGGGAGTGTCTCAGGTGTAACCATTGGATGCAACAGTGGTTGAAATACCTGAAACATAAAAATAGTTGGTAAAAAGAAAACAATAGAAGTATTTGAAACTTCTTACCTGGAAAGGGGAAAAGACGCACAAAAAAAAAGAAAAAAAAGGGACAAGCTTCCTGAAACGAAAACCGACCTTCCAGACAACTGCAGTGTCACGTCCACTGTCAAGAAAAATAGCACCAGCAATGGATTCAACAATGTCGCCAAGAACTTTTGGAGCTTTACAATCCCCCAAGCCAAAGGAGTTGAAACCAGGTTTTGATAATTCATCTTGAACTTCCTTCACAAAGTCCCTAATCTGCATACATGGTTAGTTGTACGTCATGATTTGTCGACTCAACCAAAATAAGTCATTGTTTATTTCCTTTTTTAAGAAATAAACTCTTCATTGATGGTTTGAAAAGCTACAAGTGTAGATTTGATGGCATTAAGTTATTGTCTTATGAAAGCATCTTTTTTCTTTTTTAGCACTTGTAATAATTTTTTTACAATTTGAATATACATACAACTATCATTCATCAAGGCTGAAAAATGCTTCATAGTTCTCAAACATTGAGATAACATTTCTTTTTCACGATATGATATATAAGATGACTTTAAATTATTATATATTAGATAAAAGTATGTTTATAAATTAAAACTAATCAAACTTAAAGAATTTGTAGTGGAGAGATGAAAATCCAAGCAATTCTTCATAAAAAGAGATAAAATCGCAATTCCCTGAGAGCCTTACCCTCATAAAGGAGGGACATGCAGCCTTGCATGCATAGCAATACTAAAAAAGGACTACATATGATACCTGCTTTTCAAGAGCACTTGATCCATGCCTAAGATGAATGTGGAGATTATGTTTAACAGCAACTCGTGCAAAATTTTCATTGTTTACAGCAGCAGCGCGCAAGTCGGTTAGGCGACCTGGGGGCAGATCAGTGTATGTAAAGAACAAGTGCCTAGTTATCAGATGATCTAAGACAGCATCACCAACAAATTCCAACCGCTGATAGCAGGAAACTCCACAAGATGGTCGGGAAGCATGGGTGATAGCCTCTACCA